TAATAACGTATTATAGTTTATTGATTCCTTGGAACAATTGCCCTACACAACAAAGAGAACTCAATAAAATTAAAGGATTCAATAATTATACTAAAATTTTTTAAAATTTCAATGTAAAATAAAAGTTATTATCTCAGCAAAATACAAACTATAAATGATTTTATTTGTAACAGGTCCAAAATATGAATGTATTCTAAAAATAGATGATTTCCTTTTTTTAAGTGAGAGCTACAGTTACACATCAATGTGAAGTGCGCTCACCTATATTTTTGTATCAAAAATCTTTATATGAATAATTTGTACATAATATGCAGCGTTATACATATTTTGTTCCCTTAAACCTACTTCATTAAATAGTTTTAAACATATAAATGAGTTTGAATGTGATACATTTCGATATACAGTAAAACTTGCGTAAACCGGAATCGCGCGGTATCGAATCTTTTTTCGGGTTTGATGGACTTCCGTTCCGTTTTGGACAGGTTTTACTGTATTTCGCTTCTATACTGTCGATTAAATATACTGCAATTTGCCAGTTATCCTAAAAAAATTATGGAAATTCCTCTCTCTTTTTCTACCCGGTGTTTCCTTTATTACGAAATGTTGAATATTACAAATAATTTGCATTTTAACATCTTTATAACAATTCATTTTTAGAAAGCGTAAACATTCAATGTCAATTAATTTAAACGTTCATATCTGCAGAATGTAATGCGATTGCACAACTGAAATGGACGATGACATACAATTTAAAGTAAACATCGTTTCTATTTATTCAAACCTCTCTTCGTTCCTACTCTCGACACAGATTACGAACGAGACTTTCGAGTGAAACTTCAGATGCGACTGAGATTTTTTTACTCAAATCTAAACCGACGTTTTTTAAATGGACAAACGCGTTGGTACAAAGCGGGATTACAATTCTAACTTAATACTTAAATATCGCAGATGATTACTATATATGTTACTATATACTGTATATATTTAGATGAATACTAAAACTTCCTACAAATCTGTTGAGAGGAATCTAAAAATAGAAAAATCGTCCTATATAAACGAGGAAAATATCGTCAAATTTGCTAAGAACTTGAGTGTAACGAGGATTAGGGACGTGCCAATGTCTTTTTTTAACGCTTTCGTTTAACTCGCTTCTTACGTCCTCGAATTTTACGACTCAAATTTCATCCACTTCCAATTAAGATAGAAGGCTAAAACTTTGAAGACGTACCTAGGTCTAATGATTTTAAATGTTTATTGTTCTCCATGGCTTATTTGTTCGAAGTTCACATTTATGAGGCCAATACGGTGTATCGAACCGTCTGAAATATAATCGTCACGCGCGTGTTAATAAAAATGTACTTATAATTATTGAAAGATTTTTAATTTTTGGATTAGCCTCCCCCTTTGGCGGATCCGTGGCAGACGTGGGGCCATCCCTCATCCCAAATAAATAACAATAGTAAGCTAAACCTCGGATATTTTCCCACAAGTTTTAAAAAGGAATTTTATATTTGAAATTTTCTAAGACAAAACATTTACTTCAAATCTTTACAAAATTTAAGTTTTTATTAATGGCGTACGTATGATCTGTCTCCGAATAAAAGTTAAGTAACAGCATAAAATTTAACGTTATTATATTCAACAAAATATTTTTAAATGTAGCTTATTAAAACTTCGTAACGTATCGAATGCAAATTACAGTATTTTGTATTAAATATTTGTTAACAGCAATTAAGTGAATTTTGTATTAAATCCATATAACGCGTGTTATTCCATATCTTCTAAAGCAGTGTTTTTCAACCTTTTTGAATACGCGACCCCTTTACAAGTTAAAAAATTTTGGCGACCCCCAGGTCCATAATAAAACTATGTCAGTGATTTTAAAAACTACGTATTTAATTTTCTTTTTGTTGAGACCTAAATATCAATCGAAAAACCAATTGTACTCTGCAAATAAGTCACAAGAGCCCTGCAAATAGTAACTTTGCAACGGGGGCGCTGGAGGCGAATGCGCCAACAAGTACAGACGTGATTGTATTGTCTTTGCGCTTTGCTACGCAAGAGCATAAAATGGATAAATTTCTCAAAAGATCGCAGCCCTCCACGTCTGGTACAAGTGGCAGTGACGGAAGTGAATCAAAACCGAAAAAAATAGACATTACTACGACAATTACTTGAAATACGGATTTACTGTCATGAATAATAAACCTCAATGTGTAATTTGCGGCCGCGTATTATCACGTGAGAGTATGAAACCATCAAAGCTTATGCATCATCTTCAGCCAAACATCCCAAAGAAGCTGATAAACCGCTGGATTTCTTTGAATGCAAGCTGAAAACCCTTAACCTGCAGCAAAATACTATGATTAAGGTAATAAAATAGTATTGTTATTTGGTGATTAAAAATAATATTTATTATTGCTTAATTATTTATTTGTTTTTCTGATTTTTTGTTTGTTTTTAGGTATCCAGTGTCAACGAAAACGCATTATTAGCTAGTTACAGAGTTGCATACTTATTCGCTAAAGCAGGTTAGCCGCATACAGATGCCGAAAATCTTATTTTGCCAGCAGCCCTAGATATGGTTGAAATTATGTTAGGTAGGCAGGAGGCAAGCAAGCTAAAAAGCATACTACTTTCTGACAATACAGGTATACCTCGCCTTACGTCGTTAATTGGTTTCGGGAGAACGACGTAAGTCGAAAAACGACGTAAGTCGAATTTACTTGTCTCCGAATCTACTTATCACTAGGCTAAACCGTAAATTACCATTCCCGGTTCTGTATTTTATTTATTAACGCATTATTAATAATATATGGTTAATAAAAATCTATTTTAAGCTTACAAACAAATAAATTTTAATTTTTAATATAGTACAGAAAAAAGTAATCTAAATTTACGAATGCATGTACTGTAAATACAGTACATACTTGTATATATTTTAATATGGTTTTATGTGCTTTAAACGCTTTTCTAGTGATATTGCGACTTCAATATTTGTGGCGAACAGACGTAAAGTCGAATAAAATGACTTAAACTTGATTTTTGTTTTTCCATATACTTTTTTGACAAACGACGTATAATCGGGAACGACGTAACTCGAAACGACGTAAGTCGAGGTATGCCTGTACTATTGAACGCAGAATAAACGATATGGCCAGTGACATTCGAGAACAAGTAGTCGAGAAATTAAAGAAGAGCCCATATTTTGCTTTGCAGTTTGACGAATCTACTGATGTTTCAGATTGTGCACAGTTTGTAGTATTTGTGCACTTTGAAGCAGATGAAAGTATCACAGAAGACATTTTATTTTGCAAAGCACTTTCTTCAAACACCACAGGTCAGTGTTTGTACGACATATTTTTAGAAAGCATTCGCAACTACAAGATTGATTGGACAAAATGTATTGCCATTTATAGCGATGGCGCTAAAGCTATGACTGGACAAAAAGGCGGACTCGTTGCAAAATTAAAATCAATAATGCCTAATGTCTCATGGACACACTGCTTTCTTCATCGACATGCTCTGGTAGCCAAGGTTTTACCTTCTGATTTAAATGAAGTGCTTAAAGAGGTGATCAAAATTGTGAATTCTATTAAAGGTAAAGCCTTGCAAACCCGACTGTTCAGAATCATTTGTGAAGACATGGGTTCGCTTCATCAAAATCTCCTTTATCATACAGATGTCAGGTAGCTATCCAAAGGAAAGGTATTGACAAGAGTTTTAGAACTGAAAGCTGAATTGTTAATGTTTTTACAAGGTGCTAAATCTGAATATGCGAATTATTTATGTGACCCTGTTTGGCTCCTAAAATTAGCATCTCTTGCTGATCTTTTTAGCCACCTGAATATTTTAAACAAGAAACTCCAATGGAGAGAAGAAAACATTCTGACAGCTAAAGATAAAATCAAAGGATTCTTCGCAAAACTTCGTTTGTGGTCAACGTCTTTGCAAAAAAATATATATGAGTCTTTCCCTTGTGTTCAGAAGATTGTCGAAGAAACGGCAATGGATCAATTGTTGGTAGTAAGTTCTCACATCCCTTGCATGATACAGAGCTTGCATAATTTGGAAGAGAAACTATTAACTTACTTTCCAAAACTGGACTCTGAAGCTGACTATGGGCATAGATGGATATTAAATCCTTTCATAGATATGTCAGTACAACTGGCTGATCTAACCACAAAGATGAAAGAAAATCTTATAGATTTAGCAGCTGACTGCATGCTTAAAATGGAATTTCATTCGCAAAATATTGACGTCTTCTGGATGAAAAGAAAACAAATGTATCCAGAACTGCAAGAGAAACTTTAAAATTATTAGTGCCATTCGCCACTTCTTACCTATGTGAATTAACGTTCTCTTCAATGATGGACATAAAAACTAAAAAGAGAAATAGGCTTCAATTAGAAAATGATTTAGTTGTTTGCGTCTCAAAAATAAAACCACGTTTTGACAAATTATTAAAAAATGAACAGGCACAGCCTTCTCACTGAAATTGTAGTTTTTTTATTGTAGTGTAGAACCTACAAACACTTGTCTTTTTCTTTTACCCGCGACCCCCCGTGTAAGGCTTGGCGACCCCCAAGGGGTTCGCGACCCACAGGTGGAAAAACACTGTTCTAAAGGAAAACTTAAAAGGTTATTGCACTCTATCAGGGGTTCCCAACCTTTTTTTTTATGTGTTGACCCCTTTTTTTACTATCCATCTCCTTCAATATTATGTACTACATATTATATACATGCTACAGTCTCTTACATAATTTTTAAAATGAATTTTCCTATATTTGAGAGCAAAAACTGGGTACAATTTTTAATATTTTTAGTCCTTTTGGGAAACCCTGGCCTATATAATTAAATTTATTTATCTAACTAAGAACGTTCTTGTTAAGTCTTTAAAATGTAGTTATACTTTAACAATTTATACTTTATTGAGAAAAATTTATTACAATTTTTCATTAAAAACAGTGTTATTTACAATCATTTAAATTTATTACGTTAATATTTCATATTTTAATAAAAATATTTTAATTACTATAATAATAATAAATTTAATTTAATAAATTACTCGACTTAAAGAAAATATATTGAAATTTTCATTACTTTTTATGTGTAAATTGATTATTACAATAACAGAACTTTCTGAGTTCCCTGTGTTGAATGCACGACGATTGGTTACCGTATTTGTTAAGTCGACTGACGTCACCAATTACCTTAAATTCGGTAGACCACGCAGTCTTCTGTAAGAGTGCTTCCAATATGGCTTCGCTCGGTTTCACAGAAATTAAGACACGAATGTTAAATGCGTAGCCTCTTCTATAAGCAGTCGATTTACTTGGCATTAATACCTGAAATAAACGACTTTTTATACTACATTATTATAAAACCTAACCATGATTTAGAAATATGTATCTAGTATAACAAATAACCGTATTGTATACGAGTATTTGATTTGCAGAATGTTCTGCAATACTGCACCTTGCTTCGATGAAAAATCTTCTAGAGGGTGTATTTTCCCCGGATCAAAAAATAAGTTAGGGGTCCTTAGTTTGGTTTATTTTGTTTACGGCTACGCCATACGTAGCAATCTGCCAAGGGGGAGGATTTTCTATGGGAAACTGGCCTCTATTCAGGCGTTAGACACGTGAAGAAAACTCGAAAATCTGTAGACCCGGTTCAGACGTAGAGTTTTGGGCCTCAGACCGAGACTCCGCACTAAGGGGGCCTCACACTTTCAAATTTCTATGAAAATTTGATTAAAAAATTTATTTCTTGCAAATATTTGAGGCCCCACTAATAACTTATCTCGAGGCCCTGCAAAACCTCTAACCGGCCCCGATGATGAACCTCTAATCAGTTGGTGATGAGACGAGTGTATAGTGGTTTTTTCCCCTCGACCACTCTGGTGGGCCATTTCAAAAACAAAATTTAACATTATTTTTTTAAAAAATAAGAAAAAAATATAAATAAAATTTTCGAAATCAATAATANTTTTCCCCTCGACCACTCTGGTGGGCCATTTCAAAAACAAAATTTAACATTATTTTTTTAAAAAATAAGAAAAAAATATAAATAAAATTTTCGAAATCAATAATATACAATATTTACCTTTCCTTTGGAAATATTTCTTAATGAAAGTTGGGCACACAGCAGTTTAACAGGTTCCAAAATCTGATTCAAATGCTGCACCAATTTATTGGCCGCTTCCAAACACCTCTGATCAGTGGGCGGTATTTTAATTTCCTTTTCACACACGCAGTAATTTTCTGGAATCCCCGCTTTTTCGCAAGTCCTTTTAGTAGGAATCATCATCCTCCAAGGGCTATATCCTCTACTGTTCCAAATATGAGTAGGCGATATTGGTTTATACGTCGACGTCATAATATCCATTAACATAGAATGGACATCAAACCACGTGGTCAGGCGATCCGAATTTCTCTTTAAATACGTTCTCAAATGAGGATGTTGGTCTTCGAGAGTGGACGGAAGAGTAATAGAAAATAAAGGCATTCGTTCTTCTACTCGACCAATCGAAGTAATTGCTGCTTTTCCAAATCTAAAGAGAATTTGGTATTTATAATAACACGAAAATTTACAAATTATCTTTATTTTTGTATAATTTCTCAGTTATAAAATAGTAAAACTAACGGTAAGATATGTTAGTAAAGAGAGCGGAACCTTCCTAAGACAGCTTGTAATACTCGAAGAGTATCTATAATTCTTTAGAATTTTCCATGCAATTCCAACTTTCGCAGGCTTTACTATATTTGATCGGAAGGAATTTGACTAGAATTTTCTATCATTTGATGAAATTCATACTCATTTCACTGGCTAAAAACGTCATTTACGAATTAGTTAATGGGAAGGATCCAGGAAAACTGAATAAATTCATTTTTAATGTTTTTTGTTGTTTGTGATTTGTTTTTTGGTACAAGGACTTTCTTACACCAAAGAGCACCGAGGCATGTCAAAAGTATTATATTATGTTAGTCTTTAATTATTTATGGCCGCTATCTATAGAATTGAGTTCATGCTTCGTAGACAGGCGAGGACTCATTGAATTTGGCCATTGTCGTCCAACCTACCTTCATCTAGAAAGGTTTGGTGCTTTAAATGATATTCTCTGATCTTGTATTGAGAGCGGGTTAAAAGTGTGTGACGGACAGCAAATAGGGTCTGACAATTAGTGTGTACTGGTCTCTGTGTCACTGTGTCAATAGGTAATCGTAAGTCTTGCGTGTCCCTTCTTAGTCCAGCTATTATAATTTCATTTTTTCGATTGTTTCGTTAACTGGACTTCCGTTTTGTACGGCCAATTCAATAATTGTTTATTATTGATTGAGTTGACTGTCCCATTCTGTTTGCCATTTGTGGAGTGTTTACACGACTATAGAGATCTTTATAGTATGGAGAAACCGGATTTGTAGGGTTGTGGTTTGATGTTTGACACGGTTATCTGCTATTTCATTTCCCCGGATTCCAGTATGTCCAGGAATCCAGGAGAATTTAGTCTTTACCTGATTGGTGTAGATGTTGCAGGAAAAAATACATCTGGTCGATAATTGGATGGACAGTTATGTTATTTCCCAAGATTATGTGCAGAGAACTACACATAATCTTGGGAAATAAGTAATAGCGTCTGTAACTTTGTATACGTTGAAGTGCCGTAGTAATCTCATAGAGTTCTGTACAACTTGTGTCTGCGGGCAACCTTGCCACCCGTGCAGCATCGAGACAGAAAAAGAACTGCTCCCACTATTGCTGTTTTAGTAACACCGTTAACCTGGTACCGGACATCTGGGCGACAAAATAAGACACGAATAATAGACAAAATGCAAAATTTTTTGTTTTCTTTATAAAAATCATCATTCTTTTCTACTGACCCGGTAAATTTAAATATTTTTAAAGAAACGAGTTATATAAGTTAAAAGAACGATTTTATAATTATCAAACTTATTTATACATATTACATACTTTATTTATTTTTACAAGTAATTAGAAAAGTCTCGAAGGACAGTTGATATCTACTCTAAAAGTAACAAATTTACATTAAAATCAAAGAGGACAATTACATAAATTTAAATATATATTACATTATAAATTAAATACAATAAAAATTAAAACAAAAAAGTATAAATATTCTTCGAAAGAATTTGTTTTCGAAGAACCTCTTTTCATCGATCCGCTTTGTTAACCGCTTCCGACGTAATTAAACGATGCTAAACATTTTCTTTTCCTAAGTAGGAAATAACTTCTACCTCGTAAGTTCTAACCATGTTTATATATATTTTATCAATAATAGAATTAATAAAATAAATAAAAAATGCCCGCCAAATCGTATGCTCGCTAATCGTGCAAAAACGTTTTAGTTTCTGTCGCCCAGTTAACCGTCGCCCACTTGACTATCGTCTAGTCGTCGCGTACCCGCTGTTTTAGACTCATTCGTAGATACAATATTATTACTACTAGGATCAGTGCCGTAACTAGCCATTCCCGTGCCCCGCGCCAGAATTTGCATTCGGGCCCCTTAATTAATTAGGCTTGGGAAAATAATAAAACAAATACACGCATTTTGGGCCCCCTTCCAAGCGGGTCCTGCGCGGGTGCACCCGTTGCACTTGCCTAGATACGGCACTGACTAGGATCGATGTTATAAGAACAGCTGTCGGTATACCTACGTGGTTTGGAGTAATGTTTTTTTTTTTTTTTTTTTTTGATATTTAGTAAGGGCGAGATCCACTTCTGCTACTGGATGAATTATTTGATTCCTTCCTGTACTGTATGCGATACGGATATTTGCTTCTCGAAGCGCAAAATTTATCTATTACTAGCTTACCCGTCGCGCATTGCTGCGATCTCAGAAGAAAGGAAATTTAAGCAAACTCGTTACGATAAAATTCAATTTACATTTTATCGTTTTTATTGAAACTTATTATTATTATTATTCATTTTCATCAGAAAACATTTCAAAGTGTCGTTTCAATTCTATTTATTTATTGGAGCGCTCGTGGATACACGATATTCTTTGTTTTTCCGTCTAATACGTACACGAATAAATCGGAAGGTTTTCCGACGCGTGAACTTGCCACATACAGTTGTAGATGCGAGAAGCACGGATTCTCCAAATTTACCCACACACTCGCAGCGATTGTCAGAAGTGCGATATTTTCCAATTTTATATATTTTTTTAAAATCCTTTACAATTTTAATTATTTAATTGCTCCTTCCTCTCTTCCTTGGCGTGTTATGAAATTTCTGATAGTTGGATAATAAACCGTTTTATTGTAATTTGTCTTTTTAAATTATTTTGAGTCGATATTAAAATTTGGGAAAGGGAGATCCTAGATCGGTAAAATAGGCGAATTTCCTCCTACAACTTCGATTGTTGTTCGGGGTACAGTTAAGGTTTTAACAAAGTTCGAGCGAATACATAATTATCAAAAAATAGTTGAAATAAAGTGATTAAACAAAAATTATTACTAATATCGTAAATAACAGTTCACAAATGCATATATAGAGATATTTTTTGGAGGGGGGAAATGGTCTTCACAATTTGAAATAGATCGGACAGTGTTCGAATGCTCGTGTAAACGCGCGCCATCTATCGTAGGTTAAATGTACTATGCCGGAGTGTATTAAAAAAAACTTCCCAAAGTTTCATGGCAATCGGATAAACGGTTTGGTAATGCATAAAGGACATAGGACAGACAGACAGACAGACATACATTCATTTTTATATATATAGATTCAACCTATTGATATTACCCAATTTACATACATCCCTTTCATCATTTTATATCGATCTTTTATATTTAGTTGTAATTTGAACGACATCTTTAGTTTGTTATTTTATTATATTAAACCAATAGATTGTGTTCCCGATGTAACGAGAAAGTCCTCAAACGATAGCATTCTTTAACATTAATACAGTAATTAGTTTTATAATTCTTCTAGAAATTCATCAACTATTGGATTTTCGATGCATCTAGCTTTTATCTGATAATTCTTGATAGTTTTTAAGGTTTGTAATTTTTGTTTCTTTTTTAATTATATTATATTTAGTTTTTTAATTTTTTAATTTTTAAGTTTGCTAGGTTTTTAATGTTATATTTCTCTCGATTAAATATTTTTGGACATTTGTGGATACGTAGTGTCATAATTGTACTGTACATATAATCATTTATACAAAAACTAGTAGCTCGGGACGCCCCCTAGTGGGCGTTCTTTACAATTTTCCATGAGGCACGGTTCCTTTGACTTTTTTGTTCCTATCAATATGCTCTACAGCTCTGTTAAAGTCCGAATGGAAAGATTTACCCTCCGAATGAAGAGGTGGCGATCCCCTCAAACCGTAGAACCCTGTACTAACAATAAAGTCAAAGAAACCATACCATTTTTTCGAATATTTCGGTTTTATATCGGTAATATATCGGTTTTTTTTTAATAATCTTTCTGTTTAGGCAGGTTTCCGTTTAACCAGGTTCCGTTTTGGACACGTTTTACTGTATTTATCTCTCTCGATTAATTAAGGAGAAATAATTATCAGATTATCATTTTTGTAATAATATTGATCATTAGATGATAGTAAAGTGTCTAAAATAGTTACAAGACATACTAAAATGCAATTATTCAATATAAAACTTACCTACTTCCGTGGTCCCCCATAACAACGACGATGGCATTCTTAAAATATCCTTTTTCATTAAGGTCTTTCAATAAATTGTAAGCATCATTATCCAGAAATTGGGCTTCATTAAAGTCATTGTGTGCGATGGCGATGTAAAAAGAAAACAGAAAGTAAAGTTCTTCGCGATGCTTGATGACGAATTCTTTTATCCAATTGAAAAGAATCTGATAACTTGTAACACTTCCAAGGCAGAAATCAGAACTCATCTTTAATAAAGGAGACTGGAATAAACCTAGCCATAAAGGGCGAGGATAAAAGTCCGTGGGCTGTTTAAGAAAACCTTTAGATATATAATTGAAAAGAGTAAATTCCGGATTATCTTCAGTTAGTGCTGTTACGTACCCTGCCTTGGAATAATTCTTCCAAATAAATGGCCAATCATCAAACGGTCCCGAACAATCTTTTCCCGGGAATTCTTGCTTTGACATCCCCACTTTTCGACCAGTTAAAAATGGTACCATATTTGGAAAACTATTGTCTCCTACTTTTGTCATTCCTTTTAGAATCTGAAAATGTATACAAGTATATACATTAACGCTTTGCCATTAATTAAAATCAGAAATAATTAATAAAATTTTAATGATTTTCATATTCTATAGTAACAACAGGTAAAATACAGTAAAACCTGTGCAAACCGGAATCTCGCGGTACCGAATACAGTAAAATCTGTTCAAAACGGAACCTTAAGAAAATGGAAGCCTGCCTAAACGGGAAAAAGTCTTAAAAAGGCATTTCCGTTTTGAACATGTGTTTAAAAAACCTGTTCAAAACGGAAAAATATTTGGTACCGTGTGAGCCGGTTTACACAGGTTTTACTGTATTAGCACGTTTTGAACATATTTTTTAAACAGAAAATCGCTTCGTTCCGAAGAATTTTCTCCAGTTAGGCACGTTTCCCTTTTATTCGGATTCCGTTTTGGACAGATTTTACTGTATTATACTAATCGATAAAATACTTCACCATCTTCACCGGAAATCGTTCCTAATGCTGACAAAAATTCAGAAAAATACAAACGAATTTGAATTTTTGCATCATAAAATCTTAATTAGAAAATATGTAGACAAATTAATATCCAGATATAACCTGTATTTGAAATTACATATATTCTTATAAAATAATGTTATAAATGAATATTGAGAAAACATTCCGATGAACATTCTGGCAAATATAATGTAATTATTACATGATGATGTATTGATATTATCGACAGATCTTTTATTCCTTAACACTGTATTTGAAAGTTTTCTTCTATATATACACTTACGCATGTTTATATGGGATTTCGCCGCATAATCAGACATTTTCTCGCTCAATTTTGGTTTGAAAATGTTTGAACTCGGTCCAGGTCGGGCAAAGGATTTGAGTTAATAGGGAGATGAATCGATCGAAACCTACCACCAACCATCCCTCTTATACACGAACAACATTTTTTGTGTGTGTTTGGCAGTTTCATTATTGTAATACTCGGGTCAATAAATGTTGTACATTTTAGTTACTAAGACCATTGTTTTTATCATCTTCCAACCCAACTTCATCAATAAATACCCTCCCCCGAAAAGCCCAAGCAACACCGGGCACACACAGCTAGTTACTCGAATTTATGAAAACACATTAAAATAATTAACAGGCGAACCCATTTGGCAGAGTTATCAAATTTATAACGAATATAATTTCAAAGAATCGTGGAACATCGTTAATACAACTTAATAATTTTACTTATTTTTGGAAAAGTATATGAACCAAAAAATCGTTTAGAAAATAAATTCATATTGAAATTTATTTAAATTTCGTATTTAAAAATATATAGAAGAAACTAAGTTCGAACAGTTCTTCTATATATTTAGAAACAAACAGAGAGGATTTTTTATCAATTAAGTTAGGCCTACCTGCGACGCATCGGCAAAAATACGTAAAACAGTTAAAACATTCACTGATGATAAGAAATAATTAAAAAGTACATAATTTCAATTAAGAAAACATATTTTTTAAATCGTTTTCTAATTTGCATGCTGTTAATTTATAGTTATTTATAAGGCTGCAAAATAGGAGTGTCAAACTTTAATATAAGGGACCATATCAGTTATAATGATATCTTAAACGGTCTACACAAGTTGGTAAATGATTTAATGTATAGGCCCTATATAATGTATACACACAGAAATTGATATTCTTAATATATAATTTCAAACAATATATCAATTACATGCAGCAACAGGGACTAATATTTTCTATACATAAAAGAAACATTAGACTCTCTCCTCTTAATCAAAACTATGTTTTAAATAACATTTTAATTAAGGTCCACCAATGTCTGAGTGGATAGAACCAACTACCAGTGTTTAGCGGTTCGCTGCTATACACACGAAGAAAATATTGAATTCACGTGACTTCCGTTCTAGATCGGAAGTTTGTATGTAGTTAATCGGGGCCTCTTAGTCCCTAAGCTTTCCCCATCTGATCTCGACTTTCATCTATCAATATCTAATACCGTTCTCGAGATTAAGGAAGGACAGACAGACAGTGGAAATTTATAGATCTACAATTTTTTCAAATTGCAGCCCAAACGTCTCATAGTATTCAACTATAGTTCACGCAGCGAAAGAGTAAACACGAGTCAGCCGAGCTGCAAGGGTCTATGTAAGATAAAAGGAATGGAAGGAGACGTGAGAATTCACAAATGGATCTTATCTCTCAGCTGTTTTGTTTTTACGTTTTTAAAACGTTTTTGCACTACCTTTCTCGTAAATAAATATATATTTTAAAAAAGTTTTTACAGATTTTGTTAATGCGATTTATGTGTCGACTTCCATATGTCTCTTCCCATCTCTTTCATCGGATATAGACTCTTCTAGCTCAGACTGACTCGTATCTAATCTCTCGATGCGCGAACTAGGCTTTTTCGTGGAAAAAATTCGAGAAAATGAAATTTGCGAACAATGGACACGATAATAAATGAGGGGTCTCAAGTTTAAATACCGTGTGAAACATTATAATTATAAAAATAGAATTTTAAAGCTATCACCTTTTAAAAATTATGTGAGATCAGCCGGGGTTACGGAGTCGATATTACTCGTGTAACACTTAATCGGCACCTAGTTGGTAAAACTAGTTCTCCAAGTTTCGGATCGAGAGATCCGATCTTATGTCAAGATTTGTTTGACCGGAGGGCGGTGATATTTATATAAAAGGGGAATTCTAGACTGTGAGGTCTTTATTCCAATTGTCAGGTTCCCGACACCAGTTTGTCAGTTATTTTATACGCGGACAAACACGCGTATGCGATCTGATTCGGAATCAAATTGAGGAGACATACTTATATAATAAAACAAGAGTATATTTAATAAATCTCAAACAAACGAATACAAATAATCAAATACAAACGATTATATGACAATCTAAAAGGTTACGACTTAACCTACACAAATGCGCGATCGAGAGAGAGAGCTCACAAGATTATTATAAACATACGACCTGTTAGTTGTCGTCGTCTTCGTTTCTATAGGTAGAAGGCATCTTGTAGATGGGGTTCATATTACTTCATACGGGAGATGAATTCATGCACAAATATATAATATCACTTCTTCTAGTATAGACTCGGGACTTAGTCTATCTGACTTCGTTATGGGCGTTGGTCATCAAAAGGGAAAATGTATGTGGAGTCTGTATGCTTCGGATCTATCGAAGAACTCCTCTCAACGTATGTGGAGTCTGGACACTTTCAAATCGGTCGGAGAACTCCCGCTGAACGTATGTGGAGTCTGGACACTTTCAAATCGGTCGGAGAACTCCTCGAGTTATGACTAATTTCTCCTTTTATTTCCAAATTTCGACCAATCATCGTTCAGTAACTCTTTCGTGAGAACGGACGAAAGGGGGATGAATGAGGGGTAACCATTTCCCATCTGAGCGAGATTTTTAACCAGATATGGGAAATCAACGGATGTTCTCTTCTGTGGAAAGGAAGTTACATCTGTCATCTATTTTTCCCACGTCTAAAACACTAGTTTTTTCACACAAAATGAACAAATATTTTGTCGATATTTTAAACATATTAATAAAATTATTAACTTAGACCCAGGGGCCTTTCGGATCTCACAATTATAACAATGAATTATATTTATCATTCAAAACCAATTTAATTAATATTTGAGACAACCCCTTACCTCAGCTTTCATGTTATCCGTGAGATAGGAGTAGGTTTTCGGCATATTACGAATCATATTTAATCTGGACATCGATTCGATTACTAGTATGAACACCTGAGGTTTGAAGGCATTCGTATTGTTATTAATTTTGATTCCCGTTTTCTTTTTAGGCACATAGGCGTGATAATTTCGATATATAAGTTTTCCTTTATAGCTGCAGTTAACAGCCACAAATTCTCTTCCTTCTAGGATCTTCTCTTCTCCATATAATACCTTTTCGGGATCGTAAACTAAATTATCATCATCAATGGAACTCCGCGCGAAAGTCGAATAACGACAGCTTAAATCATCTTCTAGATGATGACCGGCCACAGACGACTGATTTAGATGAAGTACTCCATCGTAATCTAAGTAAGTTAGATCGGGTTGAATGAATTTACATTTTAGAGGCTCTTTTACTACTACGTATTTCATAATCGATTCATCAAAAGGATCCGGCACGGGTATATCGCACGATGAAGAAGTCGACAATTGATCTTCCATAGACATAAAATGTGTATAAAAGAAACTCCATTCGATGAAATATATATAAACATTCCATAAGAATATAACACAGATTATCAATACCGCGAGCTTCAAGAAAGAGCGAGCCACAGATGATCTTATGTATCGTCACAATATTTTATTTAAAAGCATGATGAAGAATTATCTGTATGATATTTGAGACATTAGAAACCGGTACGAATGGCATCACAATATAAATCGTCAGATCTAACGATGAAGATACTTAACAACTTGGCTCTCACTGTACTCCATCTCACGGAATCTGTAAAAGAAGTATTATATTTAGTAAAAATATCAGAATCAAAAGTACAGTATTAAAATAAATAATATTTTTATCTAATTACTAACTAAATAAATTACACGCTTTGTTTTCAGTTCAAAAAAGTGAATAATTTAAAATATGATTGTAAATGATTTAATCTCTGGCTTAAACATTCGAGACAGCTACAAATATAAAAATGTAGCGCTGTATTGATTTCAAACACTTTTCTAAATTTATAGGCAAATTTTTTATGTATTTTAAATCAGATTTATAAGGAGATTGTTATATATATTTTCATTTTGAATTAGTGTCTGTATTTGAAGAAAATGTCTTTTAGAAAAATGAAATGTATAAATAATGTGTAGTCTATATGTAAATACTTACCATTATTTACCATCTTTATATAAGACATCATTTTATATATCTAAAACGGCAAATAAGTTTAATAATACACTTAATATTAATCTTATATTCTCTTCCTTACAGTAAAAACATAGAAGATTTATTTCTTGATAAAGTTCACAATTCACTACTATAAATACTGGTCCATTTTTACACTCGGTTTATTTTAAATCAGTTATTTAAGATACGAATGAAATAATCCAAGAATCAGGGTTTTAAAATACGGATGACGGATTTAGTTTCACAAATTTAGAGTGGTTGATCAGTAAGTCTCTTTTCGGAGTGTCTGAAAATTTTTCATTTCATTTATTTAGCGAAGAAACTTATCGATAACTTCGGACACTTTTAGCAAAGAGGATTTCAAAATATTTCAATTCAGAGCAAAAAGTAATAAAGGTGCTATCAAAATAATAATTAAAAAAAACAAAAAAGTTAAACCTTGTTGAAAGTTTTATGAAAGCAATAATAAATGAAACAATGTAATGATATTTATTATTCATGCTTCTGACCTGTAACTCAATTAATATTTACTTATACGGTAAGACCCCGCTTAAAGCCGGATGCACACACGCGGCGCGGCAAGGAAAAGCGGTGTCCCAAACGCATCTTCGCCGCGCGGCAGCACAACCACACAAGCGGCAATCCGCTTACATTTCGGCGCATGCGTTCAGTATTCAAGATGGCGAACGATATCCACGTGTTTACAAACTGTCCCTATCCACGTGTTTACAAATTTTGTTTTGTACGGCTCGCTTTATTTAGCTAAAAGATTTTGTCGAAGATTTGAATTAGTGATATTTTTTTGGATCGAGAAAGAACTGGTATACAAAATGCACTTATTTGTGGATCAAGATCTCTCGATAAAGAATACTATTTCGAGTAAGATTCGGTTGTTTTGTTCTTTGAATTAAATTATATATGATTATTTGTGTAGAATTTGTTTTAAATTTGTTATCCTTTCCTCTTTATTCTGATTTTAGTCATCTCGGTTAACCGCCTCGAACTTTCCGCCATTAAAACATCACGTGTTTGTATTTTCTCACGTGACTACGAGACGAACTGTTACTGGCTGATAGAAACGCGTCTTGGCGGCGGTTGCCGCAAAAGATAGAATTCAACCAACTTTTGCGGCACGAGAAAAGCGGCACAAAATCGACTCTGCGGCGAGAAAAAGTGACGTCGTTCTGCCGCTTTTCCTTGCCGCGCCGCATGTGTGCATCCGGCTTTATTCTAATGTTAGTTATCTCGGTTAACGGCGTCGAACTTTCCGCCATTAAAACACCACGCGATTGTATTTTCCCACGTGACTACCGGACGAACTGTTATTGGCTGATAGAAACGCCTCTTGACGGCGGTTGCCGCAAAAAATAAAATTCAACCAACTTTTGCGGCGCGAGAAAAGCGGCACAAAATCGACTTTTGCGGCGAGAAAAAGTGACGTCATCCTGCCGCTTTTCCTTGCCGCGCCGCATGTGTGCATCCGGCTTAACGCGGGAGATGCGTTCCTAAACGACAAAGCGCTAAGCGAAACAGCGTAAAACGACATCATTTTAACATAGAGTAAATAGGGATAGAAAACACGCCATCAAAAATAAACAAATTTTATTTTAATTTTAAGTTATTTTTATATTAATTTATATAATAATATATGTTAAACAACACGTAAACATATGCGCAGAGACCTTCGGCCGTAACTTCTTCCACCCTTCGTTCGTGCATTTACCGGTTAATTCTTACCGAGCCGAATCGATATTTCCTATGGCTTCCGCGATGTTATATTTTTTCCAAAATTACACAAAATAAACATAGATCTAAGGGAAGTACACCGCTACGACGATTTGCCACCTTTTAGCGGATTGGTTCGTATTTGGGAATAGTCGTATTATATACGAATCAATGAAATGCCATGATAATTTGAATCGGCGTAAATTTTGAGCTTTTTATAGGCTTCGAGCGGACGGCGTTATATCGAATCGGCGTTAAGGGGGGTCTTACTGTACTTTACAACAGGGGCGTGCCGTGACATTTGATGATAGGGAAGCTGTGTATCTATAAGAAGCCGACTTCCAGGGGCAATCAGTTAATTCTTTAAATGTATTTTTAATAGATTATTTATCTGACGTACTTAATAAATAAACAAGTTCTATATAATTACCTCTGTTATTAGTTTCAATAGGTTTCCTTTGCCCTCTAAGTGCCAATTCTTGCTTTGATAAAAACATATAACATCTATTTATTTAGATATAATATATCTATAAACCGTAACATATCTCGTTATAATTTTCAATATTTATTTTATATTACTAATGTTAAATTCTTTTCCGCTTCGATTTCCAAATTGCTTCAAATACGAAAGAATCGACGATTTTTCGTGTCTTTTGCCAGCTAAATTGTCAAAGCCATTCTTATCAAGGACAATATACTACAAGGATAGCCAGATCCCTATTCTACAATGTTAGCCAGGAATGGCAAGTTAGTGACGTCAGCACGTGTCCTGACCTCTTTGTTTACCTAGAGCAGGGTGTGCACGTGTTTAGTTTTCGCTTTTAATATTCGTCCAATTTTGTGATTAACGAAGTGATTTATTTTAATATTTCTGTAATTGTTTTATTTGACTAAGTTTTTTATAAAGTAAGATGATTTAAATATAAGTCATTAAATATTTAAAGCTATATTTTTATGTTAGGTGAAGAACAAAATGCCGGGTACTAGGTGTGCTGTGTATGGTTGCAATAATAACTTTTTTGCAGTAAAAGCTAAAGGAGAAAGTGTAACGTTTCATGTGTTTCCTAGACAAAAAGACTTAATTTCTAAAAGAATTAGGTCTGAATAGATTAATCGTTGCAAAAGGAGCGATAAATTTAATCCAGATACAAATAGAATATGTTCTGTTCATTTTGTTCAAAGTGATTATGAAAGAGATTTACGAAATGAATTGTTGGGTAAGTCATAAGTACAGTTCATTCATATATATTACTTGTTTTGGCGCGTGAATGTTTAATTTGTTTGTTTTAGTATAAAACTCCAGAATATTTTCTATTTCAGGTTTACCAGAAAGAAAGATTCTGAAGAAAACAGCTATCCCTATATTAAATCTCTCGGATAGAATGAACCCAACAGTTACGGAACGAGAAAGAAGTTCAAAAAGAAAACAAAAAGAAGAAGTTAATGATCTTTTAACAAATACTGATAATAATAGTAACAATCTTCAAGATGAATGTCATTACGAAATTAAATATAAGAAGCTGTTAGAAGAATATAATGTTTTAAAATCAGAATATGAAGAATTGAAAGAAGATCATAAAAAAAGAATAAAAGTATTAGACGATTTATTACGATATTACAAAAGAAGAAATTAAAAAGTTAAGTAAGATAATCACATAATAAAAAATATAGCTCATTAATTTGTTAAATAAATGTTAGACAAAAGACTTGTAAATTTATTGACGTACAGTACACTTATTAAATCCGAAAATTCTACAGTAGTTTACATTTAGTAGTAATTTAATAATTAATTAAGAAATGATTTAATATTTTATCGTATTTTGTTATTTCAAAGATCTGTCCTGTTGAAGTAGAGGACTTGCTGTGACGTCACATAGATCCAGGGTCACGCTAACAAATATACGGGATCTGGCTATCCTTGTAGTTTAAAGTCCTTGCATTCTTATTCCACGCACTAATTTCATATGAAAATAGTAGGCCAGCCAACAAAACAATTTTTGCATTTTTATGCATTTACAGAGCCATTTTATCGCGAAACTGTCGAACAAATTTTTTATTGAAGTGTTTATATTTAACTTAGGCATTGGCTTTTTTCTTTTAATAATGTTTTCTTTTTCATTATATGATCTCGAGCCAAAACTTTATATCGGCTAGCCGAATCGCTAGCCGATATAAGGGCTAAAATTAAAAATAAAATTATAAAAACTTACTCGGTGAAATAAAATGTGTGGTGGATAACACATACGTGGTACAAAACATTCTTCAATTGTACGAATATACTTTTAAAGAAAATTATAATTAAATATATATTTGTAATGAAACGTACATAAAAGTAACATAAAATATTCTTTACTCTTTAAATCTTAACCACTTAGTCAAATAGCTCCCTACGAGTGGAATCCGAGACGGTCCTGCTAGGTGTGTGGTGTGTAAATGCACGCGGGCTGCCAAATCCCGAGGGTGCCGATACCGTCAATGTCAAATGTCAAATGTCAAAAGACGCGACAGGGTTCTTGTAAATTTTAAACGTTTCTCACCATAACTGTAAAAGTCTAAATATGTTAAACTTAATAGATTGTCCATCGTTTGTTTTCTAATTCGTTTTAGGACCAGGTGTTGTCCGCGGAAATTTCCAAAATTTACAACTTTTCGGTCACTTTCGTCCAACTGGAAAAATGTCTGTCTTTATTA